TAGTTTGCAGCAGCTTTATATTTCTATTCATTTTATATTTATTTTTATAATAATTAATTTATTATACACTTTGTTCACTAATTGGATTGGAAGCTTTTTCCTAAGCGCAGATTTGATACTTTACAATAACATACATTGCAAATTGGATGGCTAACCTATGTATCTATTTTTACAGGTTAGGTAGTCTTACCTTCTCCATATCATGAGTCCGACCACCATGGAGATCAGCACAATAAATCCAGCCACAGACACTATCACTATGACGATGAGAGGGTTCTGTTCACTTGATGCCAGAGCCACTGCAATACACATGCACAAAGTATGTAATTAAAATAGGTTTTGTATCAAGTTGTTACTATGCACTGCAGAAGTCAGAAGAGCAACACACAGAGCTATATAACAAAATTAATGATTTAATTTACTTAATTCACAATCTTTTTTTCCATATTGGTAAACCTGAACAGATGTCTCCTCTTACCTCTTGTTTCTTGCTATTGGTCAGCTAGACCATTTATGACACTCTTTGACAGATATCAAGTATCTGATTTGGTAAAACAATATACAAGTTAGAACTTATGAATAAGTAACCCAGCATGTTTACTGGTTCATGTATCACCCTCTCTCTGACCTTACTTTAGCTTCTACCAATCATGAGTGAGAGATTGTGCAGCACATACTTCTGTTTTACAGTGACTGCTTCCCAACCATATAAACATTTGTGAAGCTTTATCAATCTGGCCACATTGGATTCACTACATAATAATTGCACTTCACTGATTTATTTTACTTGGAGAAAAACTTTAGAATTAATGCTACTTTGTATTTTATTAGCTCTTACAAGCTTACAATGGCTATAAAACAATTACTTTCCTATTTGAAAGTGTAATGCTATAGGCATTGTATTATGTAATTTGTGCAATTTTAGGTTTTAGTCTTCTTCAAAATAATATAATTCTATAGTGTACATTTGGAGATATGTAATTCCAAAATAAATTGATACCTAGAGTTTTGAAGAATAATACCATGATTAGTTCAATAACTGTTTGGAGAAATGTAATTCACCCATAGAATACAAAACAGTTTATTATAATGTTTTTATACCCGTTTTGATTGTGCATAATAATGATGATAATAATAATAATAATAATAAAAATAATAATGTAGATTGTCACCTATACTAGTATGGCAATCTGCCAAAATAAATGATGTCTATATTCCATCCAGGAGCTTCAAGTTGTGGACAGTTGGTAGACAATATTTATTAATTGTCATGGTTGGTCATATGGTGTACTGATCGTGATTTTATGTTTTAAATTTGAGATCAGAGGTATAAACACTTTATGATAAACAAAGCTAAATATGCCATACAATAATGGAATTATGCATGCATGTGTTAATACAATAAAATATGTAAGTAGGCCCTTAAAGTGTATGTATGACATAAACCTTTTAAAGCTTTGGACAGAGTAGAGTATAAAACCCCTGCTAATGTGTTCCATTGGGGAGATTTAACTTCCTTTCCTGTCATTTCCTCTCCAAGAAATGCAATAGAAAGTGAGAGGAAATCTTTAATAAGTGCGATGGCCATCAGGACAAATGGTGAGTTACCTTCAGTCAGGGATATAGACAGCAATTAAAAAAACCTCACAGGGGATCTAACCCCTGACAACTTCATCCAAAACTAAAAACAAAACTGTGCCCTTATTTAAATAGGGATCTGATCAGAAGCCCAATGTTACTCTATAGGCAAATGGATCTGTACTGACGTGCATCTGTTTACATCCAATTACGTAAAAAATGGAAGTTACATTTTGGCATGCTTACCATGATGGATCTGGGGTAATCTGATGTAAATTAATGCATGTCCACTTACATCGGACTGCCCATAGACCTCATATGGGTCCACACAGCTCAGCTCAGCTCAGCTTGGAAAATAATGAAAAGAAATAGGATGTCACAGACATGACATCTGTTCCATTCTGCTCCAATCAGCAGGGTATCTGTGCATGGATCCCCTGCAAATAGGAATGGACAGTGCCTATGTAAAAGGGCCCTTGGAGATAAAATGCTATGCAAATAATGACAAAGTTGCTTTTAAAATTCTAACCATAACACATATCTTAATTGTCACAGAGCATGTAGAATCACAAACTTCTTGGTCTGCAGTATGTGTTTATGATTTGAATAAGAACATCATTATGGATCGCCTCTACATAAGGTTTTTTCTTTTCAGAACTACCTTTCTACCCATATAAGTCAATAAGAATGCCACAACACCATGAAGCAGCTTAAAAGATGGTCAACTGCTTAAGGAGGTTAATTGCAGGTTAAATTCACCTATAAGTAGACATGTTGAACCAACAACAAATTTGTTCAGTTTCGTTTTGATTCGGATTTTGCGTTATTTCTTTTTCGGTAATCGTGTCCGAAAGTCAATTCGTTTCGGATTCGGACAAACTTCGTTAGCGGTAGTCTGTACGACTTTTCGTTTCGTGTTCGTTGCATAGGAAAAGTATTATGACACCTCTGCTCACAGACCCAAATGGCATTCAGGAGCTCATGAATAGCATTCAGGAGCTCCCGAATGCTATGTTGTATTTGACAGCTGAGAATGTCAAATGGGCGGAGCGAACTGTGACATCATGGCTCACTCTGCCCATCTGTTTACTTTCGGGCTGAATGTAATTTTGCGGTGAGTTTTCGCCGGGTTCGGACAGTCATTGCGCGGCGAGACCTTTTTTATAACGGCGGGTCGGTGGGCATCATGCATCGTGATTGACGCTGGATTACATCGATGGAGCCATTTTTTTAATCAAAGGAATAGTCAAAAATGAATTCTTTTTTTTTAAATTAAAGGATTTTTTTCAAAAAGTGTGGTTTGTTTATTTACTTTGAATTTAACCCTTTAGTGAATGAGTAGAGGTACAAGTACCCCTTACTCATTCACAAGGGGGGTGGAATCTGGGTGCCCCCTTAATTAAAGGGGTACCCCGATGCAAATAAGCCCCCTTGCCCGCAGACCCCCACAACCACCGGGTCAGGGTTGTGGGGAAGAGGCCATTGTCCCCATTGGCATTGGGACACCCTCCCAATGCTGAGTGCATGTGCCTTGGTAAGGCGCAGGGAGCGGGGCGCTCGATCGCCCCCCCCCTTTCCTGCCCTGCCGGGCCTGGTAGGAATGTTAGGGGGGACCCCACATTTTTTCCCCATTTTTTGGGGAAAGGGCCTGGTATGGATTTTTGGGGGATCCCCACATGCTTTTTTGTGTTTTAATTGGGGGTCCCTCCTAACATTCCTACCAGACCTAAAGGGTCTGGTATCAATTGGGGGGAACCTCATGCTTTTTTTTTTCCTCTTCTGCAGATGGTTAAAAAAAAATCTTTGCTGCAACGAGCGAACGAAACGGAAACTAAACGACAATTCGTACAGACTACTACGAATTTCGGTATCGGAAATTTGGATTACTTGGATTCGTTTGCATCCATTTTAGCTGTAATTCGGAATTCGGATACAACCGAATGTTGAGTACATTTTGTGGCTTTGTGCATGGACATTTCTTATGTTGTGGGATTTCCTGGCAGATAAAAGATGTTGATGATGCTAAAAATAACCAGTAAACATAGCAAACTCATTTTACTAGAATATTGATCTGATTTTGTTTTAGTAACTAAATAGGAGGTATTTTCTTTTATTTTCCACAATAAAATAAGAACCTTGTAAAAGAGAATACTTGAAGCATCTGAAAATCGCCACAGATTTTTGCCAATCACAACATTCACAAAAAAATTCTAAGGGTCATATTATCAAATCAGATGAGCAGTTGACAGACCACATTTTAACCACTTGCCGTCTGCCCGTTGTAAAAAAACGTACATACGGCACTGCAGCATCTGCGGGTTGCGTCCCCTAGCGGGCACGCACAGGCAGAAAAGACCCGACCAATGCAAACACCCGTTACCGGGTGTTTCACATATAGACGATCGGCGGCTCCATAGCCCGCCGATCATCTATATGTGCTTGTTTTTTTGGCCCCCCCGCGTGGCCGCCACCGCCGTTTTTTTGCCCCCCCTGACCCCTCACCTTCAATCCCGGGATCCGCTGCCCCATCTGCGGCCCGGGACCGGCTCAGAGGGCGTCAGGAGGAAGAGGACGACGGGAGATCAGCTCCTTGCTGATCTCCCTCCGGGCTGTGAATGCAGAAGTGATGTGTATTACATCACTTCCGCATTCACCTGTCAGTCATCTGGCTGCTATAGCCAGAGAAAAGAAGCTGATGAAGCAGATCTTTGCTTCATCAGCTTCTTTTGGGGTCCACAGGTGACGTTAGGGGTCCTAGAGACCCCTAATGTCTCCATAAAGAGGACCTGTCAGTGTGCCTTTGCTGTTATATAGGGGGATTGTTACCCGACATAACCCCGTCTTTTATATTTTACCAAAAAATTGGGTAATAATAAATGTTTTATCATTTAATATAGGGGAAACTGTTTTTTAAAAAAATTTCGGTAATTTTTCCTTAATATAGTAAAAAATAAAAACCCCAGTGGTGAATAAATACCACCAAAAGAAAGCTCTATCTGTCCCCAAAAAAGGGTATAAAATTCATTTCAGTACAGCGTTGCATGACGGAATAAATGTCAGTCAAAGTACCGCAGCGCTGAATACTGAAAAATGGCCTGGATGGGAAGGGGGTTCAACCCCGCGGATGTCAACTGGTTAAAACCCCCAAATATTACCCTCTGAAACAAAATGACACATTTTGTAAGGGAATCATTGCTGCAAAAAAGCAGTTTAACCTAAAAAAAGGTCCCTAACATCATAACATAATACAAATATATCCTTAAAAATACCATCCCTCAAATAAAAGCCTTTTTTTAAAGCCTCAAAACAGAAAAAAAAATGTTTCAACCACAAAAATATAATTAAAGACAAAAAATCCACAGCAATAAGAACAAAAAAACAGCAAAAAGGTTGATTGCTCAAAGAGCTAGCAATTAAAATTAAAGTACAGTTTCTTAACAGACCCAAATCTCTCCTTATGTAGTTGGACAGCATTCTCTCTGTTCTTTCCCTACCGCAGCTTCAAATACACTGACAAAATGGCTGCCCTGTGCCCCCCAATTAATAGTGAGCGGCTGGAATATCCAAAATATCAGTTTTGAGGCATTCATTCATTAAATAGTTAAGCTTTTGTAAAAGCTACTTTCTTTCATCGATGAAAGAATTACATACAAATACCGGATCGCTATGATTGCTAAATAGTGATCCGGTATTTGACAGCTAAGATAGCAGAGAGGTAGCA